TCCACTCACCTCGGCCTCCCAAAGTGCTGGGATTACAGGCTGAACCACCGAGCCCGGCCTTATGACATTTTTAAAAAGGAAAACTGAGGCTGGGTGCAGTGGCTCAGCCTGTAATCCCAGCACTTTGGGAGGCCTAGGCAAGAGGATTGCCTGAGCCAGCGGGTTCAAGAACAGCACGGGCAACTTGGGAGAACTCGTCTCTACAATAAATCACAAAAAAAACTAGCTGGACGTGGTGGTGTACGTCTGTAGTTCCAGCTACTTGGAAGGCTGAGGTGGAAGGATCGCCTAAGTCCAGCAGGTGGAGGCTGCAGAGGCCATGAGTGTGTTGCTGCACTTCAGCCTGGGCGACAAGAGTGAGACTCCAACTCAAAACAAAAAAAAAAAAAAAAAGAAAAATTACGATACTGCCAAAAATTGACCTAGAAAGCATTTAAGTCATAATACATAGTTTACAAAATAGCTTAAAATAAGAGGGGTCTCATTTAACAGTTGAGGATGGGTGCAATGGCTCACACTTTATAATTCCAGCACTTAGGGAGGCCGAGGCAAGAGGACTGCTTGAGCCCAGGAGTTTGAGACCAGCCTGGGCAGCATAGTGAGACCTCATCTCTACAAAAAGTTTAAGAATTAGCCCAGCATGGTGGTGCTCACTCATAGTCCCAGAAACTCAGGAGACTGAGGCAGAAGGATTATCTAAGCCTAAGAAGATTGAGGCTATAGTGAGCCTTGATTGTGCCACTGCACTCTAGCCTGGGCAACAGAGTAAGACTCCTACTCAAAAAATAATAATAATGTAACAGTTGAGCATATGGTGTTATTCATATTATATAATGAATAACAAAAATCAGCTTTTTTGAAATTTGAAAGTGACTGATTTATTTATTTATTTTTATTTTTTATTTTTTTTTGAGTTGGAGTCTCACTCTGTCACCCAGACTAGAGTGCAGTGGCCGCTCCCGGCCACTGCAGCCTTGACCTGCTGGGCTCCGGCGATCCTTCCGCCTCAGCCTTCCAAGTAGCTGGAACTACAGGCGTGTTACCACACCTGGCTAATTTTTTTTTACTTATTGTAGAGATGAGGTCTCGCCAAGTTGCCCAGGCAGGTCTCAAACCCGTGGGCTCAGGCAATCCACTCACCTCGGCCTCCCAAACTGCGGGATTACAGCCTGAGCCACCGAGCCCGGCGAAAGTGACAGATTTTAAATGGCTAGTAGTGCATTATCTTAGCTCTCCAGTGAGCTGTTTCCTGAGTGGCAGAGTTACTGTTATATTGAATATTCAAAACAGGCCAATTTATTAATAGAAACTCACATGTCTTCATGTTTACCCCATAAGTTGAGTTTAGATTCACACAAACCAATGTTAGTTTCTCGCCCAACTGTGTAATAGGGGCAACTATTTTATTTTTCTGAATCTCAGTTTTTCTTCAAGAAAATAGTGGTAATATGCATGTAAAGGCCTAATTAGATTTTCAGCAAATGTATACTGCTGTTGGTATTGGCTGTTATTGTTATCCGTAGTCATTCTATTGCAAGATGGACATTTTCCAAAATTTTGCCAAATTCTTTGTTTAGTTATTGAAAATAAGCCTAAGTTTTTTTTCTAAGCCATATTTATCATATTCTTAAATGTAGTATCTGTCTGTTTCCCAGAGTCTGGTAGACATGATGAATCTTCCATGCTCTATAACACATAGTTTTTTTTACTTGTGAGTTTCCACTCATAAGTAGGCATCAGACTTATCTCCAGAACCACAGCCATGAACTGTTTTTGCATTTTTTTTTTAACATATAGTTTGCAAATTTAAAAAAACAAGTTTGCTAGTTGGATGTTCATTTTTATTTTGGGCTTATCTTGTGCATAATGCCTTCATATTATTACCCATGGGTATGTTTGTTCATTCTAGTGGGGTTTTTTGCAACAGAATACTATATAAAGTTAAATTGTGGGAAAGACAGGTTGAGACTATTAAATTACAGCAGTGGAAAATTTTGTTTCCAAATCCTAATTTGAAACATTAGCTAGTAGCTTTTTTATCTAAAGGCAGTCGCAATTTTAATTTCACAGTACTTTAGTTAATGTAATATTGATTTCCTGTTGATTAGGACATGGAAATCTATTGATGTTCTCCATTTCAGTGTTACTCTTTGCATAGCCCTGTTAGTTTCAGCAATTAGGAACACAAAAGCCCTGCATCTGAATAGCTGCTGCGATTCTCCTGATTGGCATTTTTGCACAAAAGTGAAACTGACAGACCTGTCAGGCAGAACCAACAGCACTGCCAGAGGAAGTACTTTTTGGAAATGTCTTCCCTTCTTTATGAACAAAAGCATGTTTTTTAGGAAGAAACAATACTGAAGTGAGCATGTACAGTGCTTTTTCTTTTTTTTTCCAAATGATGTCATATATAGATGATCCACATAAAATACATCAAAGTCTGTTTAAAATACGGGCTTGGTGACCACCAAAGCAGCCTCCACAGTGTCCCATTTAAAAGGCAAGCACCACAAAGTACATTTCTGCGCTAGGGCACAACCAGGACCTGGCATGGAGGACAGGACAGAGGCACATCGTGGAAGCAGCTGGCCACAGGGCAGAGGTGGCGCTTGACTGCCTTGATTTCCATGCACACAGCTTCTTTGGAGTTATGTGTGTCTATCTTCATTGGGAAGTGGGATTGGAACTTGACTAAATTTGTCAGTTTTCCTCTTGAATTTCTATAACTTAAAACCTTTCATTATTGGTATGTTTTTTTCTTTCCTCTTTTTGCAGGCAGGTAACTTGCAGACTCATTTACGTCGGCATTCTGGTGAAAAGCCATACATCTGCGAGATCTGCGGAAAGAGGTCAGTGCTGCTCTTGTTATTCCATGTTTAAGGGCCACTCGTAGGCTGAGTGTCTGGTGGGCAGTGTCCTCTGTGGCTTGCAGACGAGGCACAGGTGGGCTCACTCTACCACTACAAAGCACAGGCAAATTCACGTGATTCTCAAAGGATAATAGAAAAGTTCGTTACAAGAGAGAAAATCTCGGACGGGAGTGTTAGAAAGGAAATGGGGCTTTACATGAAACAAAATTACTTTGTACTAAAATTTTCATTTATTCCAAAAATGTCTCCAAAAATAGATTAGTGCTCCCAAGAAGGCGACTCTCTAGTAGGAAAATGGGCGTGATGAGGGATGAGACCTGAGAAGAGAAGGTGGTGGAAGGTACCAGGAACCCTGGACCTGTAATGGGCATGAGAATTCCACCTCTAGAAGGGGGCACTTGATGGGTGGGGAGGATGTCGACCTGGGAAGAGAATCTGATGCCTGAGGTGGAATACAGTGGGTGGTGGTTTGGTAGTCTCCCCAGGGTGGGATAAGTGATGCACTCATCGTGGTCTGTGTGCACAGCTGGCACCCTCAACTCTCTTTCCATCTCTTGGGGAATATGTTGGGACCATATATTCCAACATCTGATGGTTGTGCTTGAACTGGCATCAGCCAGGATTATACTCATTACAGCTCTGTAGACACCCTGGTATACATAGAGTTTATATTTAGTTATTTATGTCATCGTCAAGACATTTAGAATTTATTTGACACCTCCTGTTTGCTAAGTGTTGTGATAATAACATAAAAGTAAGCAGTGTAGCTTTTCTGCCTAGACCAAGTTTGTCCTGAAGAGTATCCAAGAAAGAGGCAGACATGGGGATGATTAGAAGTCCAAGTTTCTAATACAGTCTGCAGCATGTACTGAGGGAACAGCAGAGGAGGTGCCTCTAGATTCGGTTTTTGGAAAACAATTGTCTCTGCCTATGGTAGAAAACAAAAAATGTTGGGCACCAAAGTGTTACAGCCCAGACCTAACAAATCGGCTGCCATCCCTCACAGCCAATTAAAATACAAAAGACAAGCCGGGCTCGGTGGCTCAGCCTGTAATCCCGCGCCTTTGGGAGGCTGAGGTGAGTGGGTTGCCTGAGCCCGCAGGTTCGAGACCCGCCTGGGCAGCAAGACCTCGTCTCTACAATCAATCAAGAAATTAGCTGGGCGTGGTAGCGCATGCCTGTAATTCCGGCTACTTGGAAGGCTGAGGCGGAAGGATCGCCGGAGCCCAGCAGGTCGAGGCTGCGGTGGCCGGGAGCGGCCACTGCACTCTAGTCTGGGCGACACAGTGAGACTCCAACTTAAAAAAAAAAAAAAAAAAAGGCAGAGACTGGGAGAAAAGGGAGTGTTTAATTTCTATAACCAGGTTATAGGGAGATGGGTCAGCATCATTGCTAAAAAACCCACTCAAGCTGGGCTCGGTGGCTCAGCCTGTAATCCCGCACCTTTGGAAGGCTGAGGTGAGTGAATTGCCTGAGCCCGCAGGTTTGAGACCCGCCTGGGCAACTTGGCCAGACCTCATCTCTACAGTAAATCAAAATGAGCCGGGCGTGGTAGTGCGTGCTAGTGCGTGCCTGTAGTTCCAGCTACTTGGAAGGCTGAGGCGGAAGGATCGCCGGAGCCCAGCAAGTCGAGGCTGCGGTGGCCAGGAGCGGCCACTGCACTCCAGTCTGGGTGACAGAGTGAGACTCCAACTAAAAAAAAAAAAAACCCACTCAAAGCAACATAAATTCATTCCAGTTTTTACACCCAAGATTCATAGCCCTTTACCCACCCCAAGTTTGATGCCTGCATTCAGTTTTAGCATGATTCAAGATTACATTAACAATTTTGGATACGTGACGCTGACATGACACAAAGTCTCCTGGTCATGCTGACATTTTAGATAACATTTTGGAATTTACAATATGTTCTTTGATAGTCTTTTTAGAGGAAGGTGCAGACAATTGCAATATTTGTAACAATCTTTTTTTTTTTTTTGAGTTGGAGTCTCACTCTGTCACCGAGCCCAGTTTGTAACAATCTTTTATTCCCAGAACCCTGACCTATAACGGTCCAATGTCCTTTTCTTCACAGATGGAGGGGAGGTGGGCAATACCCCCTCCGGGCTTTTAGAAACACTCCTGTCAACCTTGTTCCACTCTCCTAGCCTTTAGGTAGTCTGGCTTGCAGATTTTATGTTTAGCCCAGCTCAGCTACAAAAGAATACACGTATTTAAGTCTTTTCTAAATGGCTGTTCTAATATAACCAAGATAGCCTCTTTTCAACCTCTAACATTCCCCACTGTCAGTTATACCCATGATTTCTAGCATGGGATTTTTAGTTTGCTTTTTTATTTTTTTAGTCAGAGTCTCACTCTGTTGCCTAGGCTAGAGTTTAGTGTCATGCTCACAGCCACGCAGCCTTGACCTGCTAGACTTGATCCTTCTGCTTTAGCCTTCCAAGTAGCTGGAACTACAGGTATACGTCACTACGCCCAGCTAATTTATTTATGGTAGAGATGAGGTCTCACCAAGTTGCCCAGGCTGGTTTTGAACCCGTGGGCGCAGGCAGTCCTCCCACCTTGGCCTCCCAAAGTGCTGGGATTATAGGCATGAACAACCATGTCTGGCCAGCTTTTTTTTTTTTTTGAGGTGGAGTCTCACTCTGTCGCCCAGGCTGGAGTGCAGTGGCACACTCATGGCCACCCCAG